CATAAACCTGGAAAAATATGAATAAGATGGGTAGACTGTGACAAAATCACTATCTTAGTTTACAAGATATTATGATTTGAGGAAGCTAGCTAATGAATACATGGAATCTGTCTGTATTATTTCTTGCAACCATATGTTAATCTACATTTATCTCAAAACAAAAAGTTTAACCTGAAAAAACAGGCCTAAGGTTTAACTTGCCTTTTCAGAACCATTCTCAGTCTACTTTTCTAAGCTACTGGACCTTAAATTATTGCAAACTTAGTAATTGCTGAACATGCAATAACCTTTCCTTGTATTTAACTGAAAATGGTTTAAGAGTCAACAATTCGAGTATGACAATGAAGCAGAACAGTTTCAATGCTCAAGCACTTCTGTTCTTGTGTATGACCTGCAGCCTTAATTTTCTGCGTAAAAATGGTTACCTTATTTCCTTAGCTTTGTTTGTTGGAGACAAAGAAGGAATGCTTGTTAAGTATGTCAAAACATAATCTTATCTTGCGAATTTTTGTTCATATATCATAGAAGATAGATTTTTCATTTGCCCAGAAAGCTTGTATAACACATTTGGAAATTTCTGCTCTGTAACATCTTTAGAGCTGACAGACTGTTTTTTACTTCATGCTGAAAAGTGTCATCTTACGGTTTTGTGAACTGGCCAGAAATTCACAGGTTTTAAGGGTCTTGAGAAAATTTATATTGAACATTGCTCTTTGTCTAACAAATAAAAGATGTTAATTTATTCCTATTTTTAAAAATAGGCCTAGAAAATATAGGAAAAAAATTTTCTTTTCTTTTCTTTTTCTTTTTCGTTTTCTAAGGCAGAGTCTCACTCTGTCATCCAGCCTGGAATACAGTGGCATGATCTGGGTTCACTGCAGCTTCCAGTTCAAGTGATTCTCTGGCCTCAGTCTCCTGAGTAGCTGGGATTATAGGCATGCACCACCACGCCTGGCTAATTTTTTTGTATTTTTAGAAGAGATGGTGTTTTTCCATGTTGACAATACAGAATTAGAGAAGATTGGTGGTTGCCAGGAATTCTGGATGGAGGTAGGAGGGAAAGCGGGTTCAATTATATAAGGTCAACACAAGGTATCCTTCTTTTGATGGGACTGCTCTGTATCTTGTCAGCTGGTCTCGAACTCCTGGTCTCAAGCGATCCACCCGCCTCAGCCTCCCAAAGTTCTGGGCAATTTTTATTTTCTAGATAGGAAACAATCTCTTAGAAAACAAAACTAAACAAAACAAAAGCAAAACAACTCAGAGAATTAAAACTGATAGGTCTCATTACAAAAAAAAAAAATTGAAACTTCTGTTAGTATAAACATCTTAAGTGAGAGAAGGTAGAAATTATTTATAGCATGCATAAGGAAAGGCTAGTATCCAGAACAGCAAAATATCTAAAAATTAGTAAGAAAAAGACAAACTATGCAAAAGGAAGATGACAATTGAATTGAAAAGGCAATCTACTGAATAATAAAAATATGAAAAGATGTTCTAACTTACTAATAATTAAGGAAGTGTATATTAAAGCAATGAATCACCATTTTATACATTTAGTGTCTTGCCATATTCAAAACTGATAACAATTCTTGATTTTATTTTGTAATTTTCTAAAATTTTTAATGGTTTTTAATATATATAGAAAATTATAAGTTGATTTTACTTCTTACAATCCAGGTAATGGTGAATATCTTGCTCAACACAGTAAAAAACATGAGTCAAAAAGAAAATGCCACTTGTAGTTTATATAAAATTTTAAAATTTGGAATTATCCTTTACTTAGAATATAAGAGATTAATAAGCTAAAAACAAAATACAGAATACAATGCATTTGACATAAAATTAATATCTACATAGCTATACATCTCTCTATAGCTATTCAGACACACACACACATACGCACAGAGAGAGCTCACACAAATAAGATTTGAATAACCCACCAAAGACCAAAAAATGCATATTAAAACTATAAAATACCATTAATTTATCACATTGGCAACACTTCAAAATACAGCATTAAAGGAGTTTTAGAAACTGAGGTTCTCATCTACTACAGCAGGGTTGCAAATTGCTATACAAAAGAATCAACCAAAATAGCACTATGAATTCCCTGCAGATTTTCCTTTACAGAATTCATCTTTCTGAAAGACTAACAACTTATCTTACAAAATACAGCAATGTTAGTATGGTGAGGGGGTATGGTGTATGTGTGTGTATACACAGACCAACGGCAGATGGATGGATGGACACATATTTAAATGTTCCACACAGTACCATCTGAGGTAGGGAAAATGTGAAACAAACTAAATAGTAATTAACTGAAGAATGCTCAAATAAAATCTGAAACACCATGTAGCTATTAGAAAGATTAAAGGAGGTATGTATAATAAAATATAATCAATTGCATTGGTTTTAAGCATTAAAAGAGTAGGTCTTCAAAGTCAGTTTATTAATCAGGTCTTCATCCTGCTGGCATTCATATAACAGTGGTATACATAGCAGGATACCATAAAGCATAAGAATACTAACTCTAGGACCAGAATTCCTAAATTGAAATCTGAGTTCTCCCCTCCCCTCCTTAATAGCCGTGGTCTTGAGAAAGTCATTTAACCACTCTGTTTCCTTACATTTACAAGACCAAAAATAGCAGTGCCTACATCACAGTTTGTGGTGAAATACATTTAATATAAATAAATTAGAACAATGCTTACACTAAGCAAGCATTACATAAATATGGATTTTGCTGTTGTTGTAATAATTACATGTAAAAACACAGCACCACCTGGTGTATCATAAGTGCTCAGTAAATATTAGCTATCATTATCATTATTATAAACCAGTACTCATTTTAGGCACTTCTACATTTGTTAGCATATGTGAATATGTACTTATGAGTGATTCTGAAGTACATTTATTATAAGTTAGGTACATGAAGTAACAAGAGGGAGATAACTACTATGCAACAAAAATGAAACATGACTGATTAAAAGGTTTAAACAAATTATTTGCCTAACAAAGTTAATTATCTTACCAAAACGTTATGTCTCTCTTTGGCTATATGGAAAAGTATTTTTTGATTAACCAAAATATTATCAAGAAACCACTAACCATTCTGCCAGTTGTTTGGCACCCTTGCTGTCAAAGTAATGGTGTATAAGTTATCTTATTGACACTGTAACAAATTACCACATACCTAATGTTCTAAACACCACAAATTTAGGACCTTAAGGCTGTGGAGATCAGAAATCCAAAATGAGTCTTACTAAGCAAAAATCAAGCTGTACTCATTCTGAAAGCTTTAGGGGGAATCCAATTCTTTGCCATTTCCAGCTGTGGTGGCTGCCTGTATTATTTGGCATGTGGCTTCTCTGATCTTCAAAGAAAATCACTGCAACCTCTCCTTTTGTCAGCACATTTCCTTTTTCTGCCTTTGACCCTCTTGCCTTCCTCTTAGAAGGAACCCTGTGATTACACTGGACCCACCCAGATAATTCAGGATAATCTCATCGCAATCCATCTGCTAAATCCCTTTTTCCATGTAGGGCAACGCACTTACATGTTCTGGATATGACTAGATATGGACATGTTTAGGAGCCATTATTCTGTCTGCCACACATGGGTCCCACTAGTGAGATGGAACCTACAAGCAACTTGGGTTCAGGCTGTTCTCCTGCCTACTCCATATTGACAGAGCAGGAGCACCGTCATCTCAGACAAACACCGCCACTTTAAGTTCTAGTTCCCTTTCTAGCCTCATGCATTTCACGGAAATCACCTCTCTTCTAAATACAAGCAGCCAGAAAGAGCAGACAGTAAAACACAGATAAGAGAGCTGCGGCACAGAGGGAGATGGGTTAAAGTCTCTTGGGTAACTGCCAAACCTCACCCTTATACAACGGGTCCCAGTAAAACAGTGGGCCTTGGCCAGGGGCAGTAGCTCATGCCTGTAATCCCAGCACTTTGGGAGGCCGAGGTGGGCAGATCATGAGCTCAGGAAATTGAGACCATCCTGGCTAACACAGTGATACCCATCTCCACCAAAAATACAAAAAATTAGCTGGGTGTGGTGGCATGTGCCTGTAGTCCCAGCTAGTCGGGAAGCTGAGGCAGGAGAATCGCTTGAACCCGGGAAGTGGAGGTTGCAGTGAGCTGAGATGGCGCCACTGCACTCCAGCCTGGGTGACAGAGTGAGACTCCGTCTCAAAAAAAAATAAAACAGTGGGCCTTAATAAGCACATTCCTTTCCCTTTCCCTTCCGATGCACGATAGAGAAGCTAAAAGCAGATTTGGGGGATATGCCTGCAGCTGCAAAAAGATGCATGGGAACAGACACACAACTCTCCCTCCCAGATAAGCACAACAAAGAGACACAGAAGCAGTCCAAGCCTCTGATAAACTCTCCCACCCTGAATCCTTAAAAACTCTTAGTCTGTAAGAGAGTGTGCCTCTGACCTAACTCAGCTGGAAGGCATCTCTCAGGTTTGTTTTCTAAAATAAACCTGTCTTGACTGGAGAGCCACCTTTTCATGTTTCTTTCCTCTTTCTGTAATTCTTACAAATATCAACTGACCTCTGCCAATTGTAAGCCTCAAAAGGTCAACCCGCCAGAAAAGGAATTTACAGTGGTGTTTCACGCTCCTGTTTTGGGGGATGGCAGTGTACCAGAAATCATGATACTCAAATTTAAAATACTTAGAATTTAATATAGTACAAGCCATAATATCATAATAATTTGAAAACATTTATACATACCTGGCCCTAAAATTCATCTGTGTGTACATGTCAACATTCCCCTGAAGAAAAAAAGACTACGATCTGTTAACCATTCTGTGCCCTCACCACCAACCCTTTACAAAGTACTTACATAGGGAGGCAGTAATTCTTTTTTAATTAAATGAGACTAAAAATAAAGTCCCTTTAAGACAAACCTACTTAAACATATTTAAATGTTTAAAATAATTAAGGAAGGTTAAAACACAACTAACTTTACTTCTTACCATATATAGCATATTTTAGTTGAAGACGTTTAACAATTTCTTCCACAGTAGGTTTATATTCGAGGAAACATGTATAAATTCCACTCATACTCTCCTCAAAATTTTGGAATACAAGGCTTCCTGTGGATGTTATTTGTGCAGTGCGGTTTTCTACTAAAGGAATAAGATACAGTTATGAGTTGCTTAAATTACATGAGACAACTACCAAAACATTTTCTCGACAAGGTAAAACCATCATAATTTACCAACACAGTCAATGAAAGGAGTAGGGGGCATAGCTAGGACATTGCATCTGGTGTCTGCTAACAGTGGATGCCAGGATAACCTTCTTACTGACAGATGTTCACTAACCAGAGTTCATCAATTACATTGTTGCCGAAGTAGAAAGAGACTAACAAGGATACATACAGAATATGCTCCTAATCTGCTCCTTGCATTGAACTGGGCACGATCAGAAATACAGTACACATATATACAAATATATACACATAAATACATACACATACTTTAACATGATTATATTTATATTCAATGACAAATTAGGCCCTCAGTAAGCTTACAAACTATATATGAAACAAATAAATAATACACCCAGAACAAAGGCTATCAGAATATAATCACTAACAAGAGATTTCTTATCACTACATATGATAAAAGGCAAAATTTAGCTTATAAATTTGAGGTTTGCAGAAGAAGAAAAATATTGGATATGAGATCACCTGACTTGCCCAACATCACATAATCACACAGTTGCAGTGCTGGGGGTTAGAATGGGATGTAAGCACCCTTTTCATTTCAACATACTTCATTATTTAAGTGTCATACAGGGAGAAAGCTCTGTTGTGAAATGAAAAGTAAATCTGCCTTTGGAGGCATTGACACTTGGGTCTCAGACCTACCTTTCCCTCTCACAAACTGTAACCGTGAGTAACCTATTAATTTTTCTGAGATCCAGTTCCCTCATTTGTACAACGAAAAACCAAAATATATGATAGCCTATCTCACAGGATTTCTCTGTATAACAAATACAATGAATGCTAAAGTACTTGAAAAAGCTATAAATCTGTTATTCTGAAAGTTTATAACCACAGTTTTTAATTAGAAAAATTCTTAGATATTAAAATTTGCTTAGTCAATAATTTGATATTCCATTCATTAGAAGTGAAAGTACTACATCAGGAAATAATTGTCTACCTTTTTTCTTTTTTCTATTTTAGGTAAACGATTTATTGCTTATAAATTTTAAGTTGAAATATTTCTCCAAGACAAATGATGAGTGTTCATAGGGATGAAATTTTCATTATTTATTTGTTCAATAAATATTTACTGAGTGTCTAGTACATACAAGCCCTGCTTCAGGTATTGGAAGAGAAATGAACAGATGGATATACCCACCATCAAGGAATTTACATAGAGCATTATGCCTTGAGAACTTCCATTTCTATATCCTGGATGATGCTGAAAAACGTGATATGAATTTAGAATACATTTCTATTGTAATGCCTATTTCTTCATGATTATCTTTTGATGAAATATTACATATTTATCCTAACACACCAAGTCTTTTATAAACGAAGTCAACAGTTTGCAAGAGTTCACTATGTATTTCAGCAGAAACACCTCGTAGAGATATAATAAAGGGTTCTCATGAAGTTTAAAGAAATTATAGAATATTACGTCATCAATGAGATTACATATTCCTTGGCAATCATTTGAAATGAATGTTTTCCACACTAAAGAAAGCAATTAATAGGTGTATCAAAATATATACCTAAATGCCTACTACAACACTAAACATTATGACAGCCAGAAAATGTAGTAGTATACAATCTATAATAAAATGCCCCCTGACTGCCTTCTTATTTAAAAAATGTTTAAGTAGATCTAAAAAATAAAGGGGCTCAGAGCCAAGATAGCCAACCAGACATGGCCAGCAAGAGCTTCTCCCACCAAGAGATAAGACCATCAAGAAGACCAGCACACTCTGAGCAGATGTTCAGAAGGAAGGCATTGAGAGTAGACAGAGGTAGGACACCGACCCTGGACTGAAGGAGCAAGAAGCTGGGGACCCTGCACAGAGTATCCAAGCATCAGGACTTATTCCTCGCCCTGAGTGGCTCCTGGGGAAGGGGTAAGTTAAATAGACATGGAGTGGCCCACTGTCACTACGGACCTCTAGAATCCTAGCTACAGGAGAATCCATGGATATTTGGGCTGGCAAGGGAGGGTTGGTGGGGACAAGGCTCCCCTGCATGGAACCCAGAGTATTTGCCATGGGACCTGCTGCAGTGGAGCATGGCCAGGGACACCATCCCCCAAGGCTTGCCAAAATCAGAGCTGAACTGAACAAAATTGTGACACAAAAAGACATACAAAAGATCAACAAAACCAAAGGCTGGTTTTCTGAAAGAATAAATAAGACTGGTAGACTGCTTGCTGGACTAATACAGCAAAAAAAAAAAAAAAAGAGAGAGGATCCAAATAAACACCATCAGAAATGACAAAGGGGACATTACCACTGACCCCAGAGACATATAAAAAACCCTCAGAGACTATTACAAACACTTCCATGCCCATTAACTAGAAACCCTAGAGAAATGGATACATTGCTAGAAACATACACCCTCTCCCATGATTGAACCAGGAAGAAATTGAAAACCTGAACAGACCAGTAGTGAGTCCTGATACTGAAACTGTAATTAAAAACCCATCAACAACAAAAGCCCTGGACCAGACAGACTCACAGCCAAATTCCACCTGACATATGAAGAAGGTCTGGTACCAATTCTAGCTAAACTATTCCAAAAAATTGAGGAGGATCGGCTCTTTCCTAGCTCATTCTACGAAGCCAGTATCATTCTGATATAAAAATCTGGTGGACACAAAATGAAAAAAGAAAATTTTAGGATAATAACCCTGATGAACATAGATGCGAAAATCCTCAACAAAATACTAGCCTAGCAAATCCAGAAGCACATCAAAAAGCTAATTCATCACAATCAAATAGGGTTTATCCCTGGGATGCAAGGTTGGTTCAACATACACAAATCATAAATTTGATTCATCACAGAAACAAAACTAAAAACAAAAATCACGTGATCATCTCAACAGATGCAGAAAAGCCATTCAATGAAATTCAACCTCTCTTTATGTTAAAAACCCTCAATAAACTGGGCATCAAAGGAGAACATAGTAATAGCCATGTGTGACAAACCCACAGTCAACATCATACTAAACAGGCAAAAGTTAGAGGCATTTCCCCTTGAGAACCAGAACAAGAAAAGAATGCACACCCTCACCACTCCTATTAACATAGTTCTGGAAGTTCAAACCAGGGCATCAGGCAAGAGAAATAAATAAAAAGTCATACAAATAGGAAGAGAGGACTTCAAATTATATGCCTTCACAGACTATTTGATTCTATACCTAGAAAACTCCATCGTGGCCTGGCGTGGTGGCCCACACGCATAATCCCAGTATGTTGGGAGGTCGAGGCAGGCAGATCATTTGAGGCCAGGAGTTCAAGGCTAGCCTAGCCAACATAGTGAAACCCCATCTCTACTAAAAATACTAAAATTAACCAGGCATAGTGGTGCATGCCTGTAATCCCAGCTAATAAAGGTTGATTTTAATGATGTTAATGATTTCTCCTGGCTACTCCATATTGACAGAGCAGAAGCACCATCATCTTGAACAAACACTGCCACTTTAAGTTCCATCTCTCCTTCTAGCCTGATGCATTTCAAGGAAATCATCTCTCTTCTAATTACAAGCAGTCAGAAAGAGCAGACAGTAAAACATACATAAGACAGGAAGCTGAGGCACGAGAATGGCTTGAACCTGAGAGGCAGAGGTTGCAGTGAACCACTGCACTCCAGCCTGGGTGACAGACTGAGACTCCATCTCAAAAAAACAAAGCAAACAAACAAACAAAAAAACATTGCTTCTGTTCAAAGGCTTCTGGATCTGAAAAACAACTCCAGCAAAGTTCCAAGATACAAAATCAATGTATAAAAATCAGTAGCAGTTCTATACACCAATAACATCCAAACTGAGAACCAAATCAAGAACACAATCCCATTCACAATGGCCACAAAAGAATAAAATACCTAGGAATACAGTTAAGGGAGGTGAAAGATCTCTACTATGAGAATTACAAAGTACTGCTTGAAGAAATCACAGATGACACAAACAAATGGAAAAACATTCCATGCTCATGGGTAGAATCAATATTGTTAAAATAACCATACTACCCAAAACAGTTTACAGATTCAATGCTTTTCCCATCAAATTACCAATGAAATTTTACATAGATTAGAAAAAACTTACCATAAAACTCATATGGAAACAAAAAAGAGCTGGAACAGCCAAAGTAATCCTAAGTAAAAAGAGCAAAGCCAGAAGCAACACACTACCTGACTTCAAACTATACTACAGGGCTATAATAACTAAAACAGCATAGTACTGGTATAAAAACAGATACATAGACTAATGGAACAGAATAGAGACCCCACAAATAAAGTCACACACCTATAACCATCTGATCTTCGACAAAAATGACAAAAACAAGCAATGGAGAAATGAGTCTCTATTCAATAAATGGTGCTGGAATAACTGCCGAGCCACATGCATAAGATTGAAACTGGTGCCCTTTCTTCCACCATACATAAAAAATCAATGCAAGATGAATTAAAGACTTAAATGTAAGGGACCCCCAGAGAAAGGGCAAAGCAAGATGGCTAAATAGAAGGCTCTATTGAACATCCTTCCTGCAAGGACACCAAGTTAACAACTATACACAGAAAAAATACCTTCTCTTAATAACAAAAATCAGATGAGCACTCATAGTGCCTGGTTTTAACTTCATATTGTAGTGGGATTGATAAGGAATCAGAGAGACTGATGGGGTTCAGAAGGATATATATTATTTAGGTGCACCAGCCCAGTCGGATTAACATCGAAAGGACTGGGCCCCAAACAAAGAGTCATTACCTTTTAAGCATTTTGTGGGGTCAGGGAAGATCTGTGCAGGTGGAAGCATGTTACAGAAGTGAGAAACAAAGACAGTTATTCAATTAATTGAGACATGCATTACATCATTTTTTACTTTTCAAGAAATAACATGTTTTGCCACTTGAGTCTATCTGTCTAGT